CTCGGCGCTGCGGGCCTCACCAGCTGGAAACCGATCTTCCAGTCCTTCCAGTCCACTTGAGGGTTGTTGTCCCGCACGCTGGAGGCGGCGCTACGGGCTTGACGGGCCCCGTGAAGCGGGGGCGGGACCCTCAGGCGCTGCAAGGGGTGCAGCAGAGTGCCCCGCAGGTCGCGACGGCCGCGGGAGCCGGCCACGAGGGTGGCGGAGGAGTCGTATTTGTACAGGTCAAAGAGCGTCTGCTGTGTGATGCGGTCCAGCTCCTCCAGCTCCTCTTTAATTTCCGGATACCTGAAAGGGCGAGGGGAAAAGGGTCAGGCCAGGGGCCCTGGCGCGAGTGTCTGGCCCCTCCGCGGGTCAGGATCCTCATCTGTGCCCCAGGAGGCGGGTCCATCCCGGAGAAGCCTGGGCGGGGCTGGGGTCGTCGTGGCGCCTCCCGGCCGTCCGGTGGTGAAGGGTAAACAGGTGTGTCCGCCGGGAGCCCGGCCGGGACGGCAGTTACTGCGGACTGTTTATTGAAGGAGAGAGGCAGGAGGCGCCTGTCGTCTGCGGGGCGCTCTCCTCCCCCTCGCCCGGACCTAGAAGGGAACCCGGAACTTGTCTGCCCTTTCCCAAGGAGGAGAAGAGTGGGGGCCTCGGCCTTGGCGTGACCGCGGTGCCCAGGTCATCCGGCCCTGATCCTCTCAGGGGAGTGGCCTTTCGGCGTGCCGCTTGGCACCTAAATCAAGAGTTCACAACTGCACTTTTAGAATCTCCAACTGTAAAAATACAGGATGCCGCACCCACCCCGCCTCCCTCCTCCAAAGACTGTTCTAATGTGTTTCGGGTGCGGCCCAAACACCATAAATTAAACACAGCTCACTGTAAGTCCCTACATTCCTCCTTAATACAGTTCCTGTTACCATCTCCATCATGAAAGTCCAGAGTAGCAGGGCCTTAGGGATGTAATCTACCAAAACACAACAAATATAGAACTAATAAACTGAACAAGGTTGCAGGGTGCAAAATAAATACACAACAAAAATTAATCGCATTTAGGCTGGGTGCGGTGGCTCACGCCTGTAATCCCAGCACTTTGGGAGGCCGAGGTGGGCAGATCACGAGGTCAGAAGATCAAGACCACCCTGGCTAACACGGTGAAACCCCGTCTCTACTAAAAAAAAAAACACAAAAAATTAGTCGGGCGTGGTGACGGGCGCCTGTAGTCCCAGCTACTCGGGAGACTGAGGCAGAAGAATGGCGTGAACCCCAGAGGCGGAGCTTGCAGTGAGCCGAGATCGCACCCCTGCACTCCAGCCTGGGTGACAGAGGGAGACTCCATCTCAAAAAAAAAAAAAAAAAAATTGCATTTCCGTCTCAAAAAAAATAATTAATTGCATTTCTACATGCTGGCAACAAAAAAAACTGGAAAACCAGAAATACAACAGCAATATTAAATAACAGAAACAACATCAAATACATAGAAATAAATGTAACAAAAGATGTGCAAGACTGAAAAATATGTTGAAATCCCAGCTGAAATACATCCAAGTTCAGAATAAGTGGAGAGATATATATGTGTATATATATGGATTCAACACAATCCCTATCAAAACTCCAGCTTTTTTTTTTTGGACAGGATCTCATTCTGTCACCCAAGCTGGAGTGCAGTGACACAATCACGGCTCACTGCAGCCTCCTCCTGGGCTCAAGCAATCCTCCCACCTCAGCCTCCCTAGTAGCTGGGACTACAAGTGTGCCACCACACCAAGCTCATTTTTGTATTTTTTTGTAGCGAGGGGGTTTCACCACGTTGCCCAGGCTGGACTCCCAACTCCTGAGCCCAAGCAATCACCAGCCTCAACCTCCTAAAGTGCTGGGACTGCAGGCGTGAGTCACTGCACCCGGCCCCAGCAGATATTTTTAAAGAAACTGACAGACTGGTTCTAAGACTTATCTGAAAACGCAAACAATCTAGAATAGCCAGAAAATTTTAGAAAAGAAGAGCCCAGCTGGAAAATGTATTCCTCCCGACCTTAGTATTTACTATAAAGCCACAGTAATCAAAACAATGTGGTTCTTCGTAAGGGGAGACAATAGATCAATGGAACAGAATAGAGTCCTGAAATAAACTCACGCATAGATGGTCAACTGATTTTTGACCAAAACACCAATTCAATTCAGTGGAGAAAATAAAATTTGTGAGCAGATTCTGCTAGAACAACTGAATACTGTACTGGAAAAAAAAAAAAATGACCCTCAATTTCTACCTTATACTATACAGGCAAAAGTTAGTTCAAGATGGATCATAACCTAAACATGAAATTCAGAACCATAAACACTCTAGAAGATGGAAGATATCTTCCTGACCTTGGGGTAGGCAAAATTCTCTTGTAAGAAAAATATCTAACAAATAATCCCTACAACGACCCTATGTAGTAGGCACTTTATGAACAGACCTACCGTTTTTTTTTTTTTTTTAACGAGACAGAGTCTCGCTCGGTCACCCAGGCTGGATGGAGTGCAGTGGCACAATCACGGCTCACAAGCTCTGCCTCCCGGGTTCACACCATTCTCCTGCCTCAGCCTCCCATGTAGCTGGGACTATAGGCCCCTGCCACCATGCCCGGTTAATTTTTTGTATTTTTTTAAGTAGAGATGGGGTTTCACCGTGTTAGCCAGAATGATTTCGATCTCCTGACCTTGTGATCCGCCTACCTCAGCCTCCCAAAGTGCTGGGATTACAGGCGTGTGAGCCACCGCGCCCAGCCGAACAGACCTACATTTTTTAAAGATTCTGACCCTGTACACAGCTAGTGAGAATATAAAATGATACAATCACTTTGGAAAACAATCTGGAAGTTCTTCAAAAAGTTAGATAGAGAGTTACCATATAACCCATCCATTCCACTCCTAAGAGAATGAAAGCATATGCCCCCCGACCACACACACACAAATGTGCACAAATGTTCATACCAGTATTATTCCTAATAGCCAAAAAGTAGAAATAAGCCAAATGTCCATCAATTTATGAAAGTATAAATAAAATGTGGTACATCCATACACTGGAATAATATTTGGCAAATAAAAAGGAATTAAGTGCTGATTTATGCTACAACATGGATGATGCTTGAAAACATTATACTAAATGAAAGAAGCCACTCACAGAAGACGACATATAGCATGATTCTAATTATAGGAAATGTCCAGAATAAGCAAATCTATAGACAGAAAGTAGACTAGTGGTTGCACAGGGCTAGGGGTTAGGTAGATGGGAGGGAAAGATGAATGCCTGTTAAAGGGTACGGGGTTTCTTTTGGGGGTGATGAAAATGTTCTAAAATTGATTGTACTAATAATTGCACGATTCTGTGAAATATATTAAAAACGATTGAATTTTAAGTGGGTAAATTGTATGGTGTGTGAATTACATCTCAATAAAGCTGTTTTTTAAAGGAAAAATACCTAATGAAAAGATCATCTTGATATATAAAGAATTCTTGTAGGTCGGGCACGGTGGCTGAAGCCTGTAATCCCAGCACTTTGGGAGGCCGAGAGGGGCGGATCACGAGGTCAGGAGATTGAGACCATCCTGGCTAACACGGTGAAACCCCGTCTCTACTAAAAAAATACAAAAAACTAGCCGGGCGAGGTGGCGGGCGCCTGTAGTCCCAGCTACTCAGGAGGCTGAGGCAGGAGAATGGCGTAAACCCGGGAGGCGGAGCTTGCAGTGAGCTGAGATCCGGCCACTGCACTCCAGCCTGGGCGACAGAGTGAGACTCCGTCTCAAAAAAAAAAAAAAAAAGAATTCTTGTAAATTAACAATTAAAAAAAAAATTTTAATGACCAAAAAGCATATACAAATGGTCACTAAACACCTGAAAAGCTACTCAACATAATTAGTCCTCAGGGAAATGCTAATTAAATCCATGATAAGGTACCATTAGAAAGGCTAAAATTAAAAAGACTGACATAAGTGTTGGTGAGGATGTAGAGAGCAATTGGGATTCTTCTAAGCTGCTGATAGGAGCATAAAATGGTACCACTGCTTTGGAGGACCAGTTAGTAGTTGCTTATAATTTTAAACATGCATATCTACCTTATGACCCAGTAATTTCATTTCTGAATATTTTACCAGATCCACCCCTAGCTACTACACAAGAGCAAGAAAAACATGAAGATTTGTACCTGAGGCTGGGTGCAGTGGCTCACACCTGTAATCCCAGCCCTTTGGGAGGCCAAGGCGGGTGGATCACCTGAGGTCAAGAGTTCGAGACCAGACTGATCAACATGGAGAAACCCCATCTCTACTAAAAATGCAAAATTAGCCGGGCGTGGTGGCACATGCCTGTAATCCCAGCTACTCGGGAGGCTGAGGCAGGAGAATCGCTTGAACTCAGGAGGCAGAGGTTGCAGTGAGCCAAGATCTTGCCATTGCACTCCAGCCTGGGCAACCAGAGTGAAACTCCATCTCAAAAATAAATAAATAAATAAGATTTGTACATAAATGTTCATAGCCATTTTATTTATAATAGCCAAAAAGCCTAAAGCAACTCAAAAGTGTGTTGAAGGTGTGTGTTTGGCATTCTAGGAAACTTGCTCATTACTGCTAATTAAAAGAATGGCAATCGGCGGGGCATGATGGCTCACACCTGTAATTCCAGAACTTTGGAAGGCCAAGTGGGTGGATCACTCAAGCTCAGGAGTTTGAGACCAGCCTGGGCAACACGATGAAACCTTGTATCTACAAAAAATACAAAAATTCACCAGATGTGGTGGTGCACACCTGTAGTCCCAGCTGCTCAGAAGAGTGAGGCAAAAGAGTTGCCTGAGTCTGGGAGTTTGAGGCTACAGTGAGCCGTGATCGTGTGGCTGCACTCCAGCCTGGGCAACAGAGCAAGACCCTGTATTGAAAAAAAAAAAAAAGAATGGCAATCCTAGCTAGCATTTATTGAGCACTTACTATGAGCCAGGCACTGTGGTATTAGAATGTACATTATTTAATTGTTAAAAGAAGAACGTTAGACAAAATTAAATTTAACAGAGTTTACTTGAGCAAAGAACGATGTTCGAATCAGGCAGCCCCTCAACCGGAATAGGCTCATCAAAACCACTCAGCAATAAAAAGGAACTGATACATGCAAAAAAACAAGGAAGAATTCCAGAAACATTAAGCCAAATAAGTCAGACACACATACAAGAAAATACATACTGTATGATCCCATTTATATGAATTCTATGAACAGACAAAACTAGTTGATGGTGATAGCATTCAGAAAATGATAGTGGGAGAGGAAGAGGAATTGATGGAAA